TGTTGAATGGCTAATCAATGGGCCGTTTTCGGATCGCGTAGATGTTAATTGTCAGGACTATTCAGGAAGAACACTGATGTTTAATTTAATGGAACATTACGAAATCCTTTCGACGAAACAGCTAAACAGGCAGATAGAGTATCTTCTCGGCATGTTGCTTCTTTTTTTTCTTCGAATCTAGAGTTGACCTTACCTACTACTGTAGTATCAGTTTAGTTTTCGAGATTTAAATTAGTTCTTTAGTGCAGTGTAGCATTCCGATGTATGGAGTGGTCACTTAAATGATAGAGAAATTGGGACTTTATATGCTTTTAAAAACTATTATTTTAGCAAAGGGCGCTAATTGCTCAGTCAAAGATTCGTTCTTAAACACACCGTTACACATTTTTGTCGCCTTAAAAGCAAAGCTTTATGATAAAGATGCTACCGATGTTGACAAGGAAGAAAATGATCTTCGGATGACAGTTGATGATTACAAATATTGCATTGATTTACTGATAAAGCATGGTGCAAAAATAGAGGACAGAAACCATGAAGGTGAAAGTGTTTTTCTTGATTCTTACTTTCAGTATCCGTTTTAGTGAAATTGCAGCGTTACTATTTTGAAACTTTAGCTCCACATTTGGGTCAATGAGGTCGCTATTTTCAAAAATTTTTGTCGCATCAGGTTCAGTTATATAAGAGTTTGCAAGGTCTATTTATCTGGTTTGAAATAAGAACTTACTTTGAAGAGTAGATTTTTTTTTTAATTGCATATTTTCAAACTGTCAAAGCATTTTCAATTTTTGCGCAGTTAGATGCGCTGTGAGGCTTCAGGCTTTTGTTTTTTCACTTGAGACTTCTCATTTTAATGAATTTATTCTTTTTTACGATTTGTTTGAAGTGTTGTGACGGTACCTTGTTTGGTACACGCTTTTGTTTTTGCAAATTGGGCTACTGAATCTATGTGTTATTTAAGTTATGAGAAATATTAGAACACGAATTTTAAATGTGCGGTGTATTAAATAACTCTTATTTCCACAAAAAACTTCTAAGTATCACGTTGATTAGTTTTATCTTTTTGTCTCTTTAGGGCGTAACGCACTCTGGTTGTCTTTAGAGTCTGGAAATCTTTTAGCTGCTGAATATCTACTGGAAAAGTTTCTTGCTGCTGGATCTAACTTGGCTGAGTTTGAAAACCGGGTTTCCCAAGATTCTGAGAGTGGGAATTTACTCCACTTACTTTTTCTTGCTCCGTTTAAGGTATTATTTTTTGGTCTAATTAATTATTTTTCTATTGTATGACTTAGTTTCAGTGAGCTTGTATAGAATTTTTAAAAGTTCTGAAAACCCTTCTTAGACGTTTTCTAAAAAGCTAGAGATTTTTAAATTTTACTGAAGGAAGGAGAGCGTAACTTAGCTTTAGGACTTGTAAACTAGTACATTATAGTAAGTGAGACATCTTGCCAGCAGTGCTTGAGGTGGTGAGGATATCAAGTGGAAAGTTCCAGTTTCCCCATCTAGAGGGTTTGTAAATAAAATCAGATTGCCATTCCTGACATCTGGTCTACCAGTATCACTGTTGCACTTAGGAGGGATTTTACGCATATTTTGAGTAGTTTAGGGGGGGTTTTGACCAGTTGTTAATTAAAAGAAGTAAGAAGAGGATCTGTGATTAACGTGATTAGCAGAAAAATATGCAGGCTATGTTAGAGATTATCTTGCTAAATATTTTTATATTTTCTAAAATTTTAAAATTTCTAGAAGTCATAGTACTTAAGACAATTTTGGTCATCAACTAACTGTCTAAACAAAAGCTTTTCTGCTATGTGGATTTCCGGGGACTCATATATTGGAATTTTTCTTTTGGTTGCTTTGTAATTTGATTAGTTTTCTTTGAGTAATGTCGTGCTGGATTATTCAAGATTTTTCAGGTTTATAAGGACAGAGCGTTTTGGAGCGGTCAGTACGGTCCTGGTTACTACCAGTACAATATTTTGCCTCTTCTTTCTACGGTTTTGTCGACTGATAGAAATTTAATAAAACGATGGTTAGGTGAGAGAGACAAGTCAGGCCGAACTCCGCTTTTGCTGTTTTGCGATGAGTATAAAAGTATAGGGCCTCCTCCTATTTTTTCTGAAAACTCCGAAGAAGCGGAAAAATACTGGGTAGTCCTTTGTTTCTGATCGGATATTCTTGTAACTCCTCTGAGTAGAGCTTGAGAGTTTTTGAGCAAGTAGCACAATGTTTCTGATTCTTTTGATTTTACTCTCATTTTTAAATCTTAAGAGAAAATCTTGTAGTTGGCTAGTCGCTTTTGAAGTTTTTCTTATCTACAATTCTTCCTAACTTTCTTCTGATCGGAGGTTTACTTTCTTTGGCGTCTTCAACCTAGATTTTTTAAAATTAATTGCTTTTAAAGATGGGTCTACTTTTACCAGGCATTCCTTCTTTTAAGGGTCTCTGAAAGGTTGAAAAAATTTATTTTGCTTTATTTGTTGGTAGTTTTGGAATTTATGATAAAGTCCAGTTGATTTCAACTGACAGAAGCATATCCATAGTGGGAACTGCGTGGTAATGACTTCTAGATCTTTGCAAAAGAATTGGTAGTTTTCTCTTTTGCGTACCGCAGATCAACTTTTTCATATCTGCAGAACAAACTGTTTTTTGCTGATGGAGTTTGTGGATCTTTGATTTCATTGCTAGGAGTCTGGTTATTTGGGGGGATTCAGGCAAAGCTGCGATTATCACTTTGAAGACCTTCCTGCAAGTGAAAGTAAATAAGGTTTGTGAGGCGCTTCTACAAGTACTGACTAGGAGGCTAGAGAAGAGTACTTTGAATTTAGAAAATTTCCAATCAGATGTGCAACAGTTTATAGAGTTACTAAGAACTCTTTGTTGTCAGTATCATTAGAATTTGGGTTTTATCCTCTCTTTCGATGCGAATTTCGAGGTAGAATTCATTGAGTTTCCAATTTTTAGTCCAGTTTCGAAAGAGTTTTTTCCACTATTTGTGGTGTAATTCCGGTGTTGATTTCCGTGGACCGATCAGTTTCGTTAGATGGAATATTTGACAACAATGACAGTAAGGATTGCACGACTAAATTCGATGTAAGCATTCTTGTGTAAGTAATACTTGAACTTATTTAAATTACTTGCTGGAGCGATTCCAGCGGGTTAGTTCCTGTAGTAGTTGCACCCATTAAGTAAGTAAAAGAAATTTTGATTTGTCTGTGCAAGTTTTTTTATAATTCCATTTATGATTTAAGGATGCAAACGATTTGAAAGCAAATCCAGTGCACACAGTATTTTCACTCGCTCTTTCTACTAGGCCTATGAGGCGCGTGTGTGCTTATGCTTTTATAGTGAATTCAGTGAAATATGAAGCCACCAACTACCTTCTATTTACTTTTCTTCAGGCCGTTGTCAAAGGAAATTTCATTGCGGTCTGTCTCGCAAACTCCTTTGCTTAGGTTTAATATAGGGCAACGTTAGACCTAAATTGCTGTAAGAATGATAAGACAAAATTTGCTGTTTATCACAAAAGATGGAGGTAGAAATAGAATGTTAGGTTATCTGTACCATTTTAATATTTTTTATTTTGTTTTTTATTCAACGGAGTTTATAATGGTGAATTTTGAAAAGTGCAGTTAAGTACCACCATATTTCTATACGTGAATATTTTAGGGTAAAGAATTTTGACAATTCAGTAAGCAGTGAGTGTATAAGTAACAAGTCGTAAATGTTGGCGTTTTGCTGAGTAAAATGAGTTTTTTTTTTTTGCTGAGTTGCACCTTTTGGTTATGAAAAATACTTATAGCGAGTTGGAATTTTTTGCGGGTTGTTGCGTGTTTTTCGTCAATTAACTTCTTAGTGCTGTTGAGTAATTTGCAGCAATTGTTGTCTCAACGTGATAGCAAAGACTTTACTCCGCTTCTTCTTGCTGTACGTGCGCATGACACGGTTGCAAGCTTATATCTAATGCGACAAGCAAGCAGTTATAATGTTCATGAAGTTCACGGTGCTTCTGTACGACAAGTTTTCGACAACAAAAAAAAGTGTTGTAAGTTATGTATAGCTAGTAATAATCAATGACGTGCTCGTCTACTCAGTGACCAAATAGCTTTTAGTGGTGCCTTTGAACAAGTCTGTGCTCATGTACGCAATCGAAGGACAGATGTTCAAAGTAATTTTTTTTATTCTATAAGATTGAGTGCATTTTAACTTACTAGATAAAAATCAATTTTTCTTTTTTGTTCATGTTTATTTATAGAAATTTTGAAGTGTGTAATTTCAAATGTTTTCACTGCCGTTTTGTTTGTTTTTTCAAGCAAATATTTCAATTTTTTGTTTTAAGGTCCTCGAAGAGTTAGATTTGACCGTTGAGCAATGGAACGCCGCAGATACAAATGGCGACACAGCATTCCATTACGCAGCAAAATTTGTTTCTTCCAAGACAGTCCAATATTTTGAATTCCTCAAGAAAAAAGGAGTAGTTATCAAAGTTTGACTTGATTTTAAAATTTTGATAATTTATAAGGGAAAAAATTATATATGGGCCATTCCACGCCAAATCGCACACTTTCGTGCATCACTCTCTCAGATTTTTTTCATTTTTTGCTGATTAGTGAGTCTAGGCCAGCATAAAGAAAGCCGCAAAGAAAACCTAGAAAAGTGAGTTCCCCGCCAAGTTACACCAAAATTTGCCAGGTTGCCGCTTGACATGCCTGTCATTGGAGCCTTGTAATTCGGCTCGTTTTTAACAAAATCTAACGATTTTTCATCAATGAATTTTTAAAAAGATGTTAATTAATTCAATTTTAATAAAAATACACAAAAATATAAATAAAAACAAAATTTCAGACAAACATGGAGAAAAACGTGTCTTAAAATTTTTTAAAAAAGATATATTTTGTGTGGAATTTTTTTCTCTACAACATATCAAAATTTGGTGATG